TATAGATATAGATATAGATACACCTAGTGAGCCAGACAAACCTACCTAGTTTTCACCTAAACGGATCGTTTAGGTGAAACCTAGGTAGGGTTGTCTGGCTCACTAGGTTTATCTAGGTCTGCTCTACGGTTGTATTGAGCGCTTTTTGTTAGTTAGTTGTTTACTCGTATCGGGGTTTTTTTTCTTTGGGCTTCAGACCTGCATCAATGCGATTTTTTTCGACAGACTTTCATGTTTGTAGCTCTTTCTTTTTAAAACCTTTTTTCCCTCGAGATTGATTTGGTTTTGGTAAATCAAAAATTCGAGGGTTTTTTCGAAACGAATATAGTTATCTATATTTTATATATATATATATATATATATATATATATATATATATATATATATATGGTTGTGCCCTTTAGGATTAAAATATTATTTAATATATTTATTTTATATATTATTTAATATATTTATTTTATATATATTAAATAATATTTTAATATTTTATATATATATATATATGTGTGTGTGTGTGTGTGTGTGTGTGTGTGTGTGTGTGTGTATATATATATATATATATAGAGAGAGAGAGAGAGAGAGAGATACATAGAAAAGTGAACATTGAAGTCAACACTCAGAGGCGACAGGCTGTTTCATGCTAGACGCAATCGTCAGGCCGCGAATTTTTCCTCAACTTTTTTATATATATGGGTCAGTGGTGCATTGTGGGTAATCTATTCTGGTCGTTATTTTCGCGGGTGTGGCTTATTTGTTTATTTATTTATTTGTTTGCGTTAATTTATTTTACTTGTCTTACATTTTCATTTTGTATTATTTAATATTTCCGAATTTTGATGTTTTATTAACGTAGTAAAAAAATCGGTGGGGGGTGATATGCTTAAGCCGCTTCTTAAATAGTTTGTTTTGGTCTGTGAAGATAATTAAAGCTTAATGTTTAGATTGCTTGCCGTAGTCTATTCTGTTATTCTGGCGGGGTGGGGGCACGTTTTAATTTATTTATTTATTTATTTATTTGGATTGATTATTTGTACTCGTTTATTTATGCTTATTTTTAGTAGTTCTAACGGTTATTTTACCGAGGGCGATTTGTTAATTTGTTCATTTATTTATTTATTTGAATTAATTTTTATTTCTTTTTTACTTATTTACTTATTTTTATATTTTGTATATTTTCATTTGCTCTATTTGGTTTTCGACTTTTGAGTAACATTTTTATCGTTATATAGCAGTTATAGCTATTTTACGTCCATTTTTTCTCTTTTTAAGCCAGAAATGTAGCACACCTTAAAACTATATTTC